GGGACGGCAGCACCCCCGGCGCTCCCCCTGCCCGCCAGCTGCCGGTTCTCCTCACCTTCTCCACCACCCGTGCCAGCGCCTTCAGGGCAGCGGCGCTCTGGGCGGTGAGCCTGGCCAGGCTGCCGTGGGCCTTAGCCCTGGCCTGGTTCATCTCGCTCTTGAGCTCCTGGAGCCGCCTGAGGACCCTTTCCTTCTCCTCCCGCATGCGCCGGTTCTTCTCCTCGCTCTCCCGGAGGTGAGCCCCGATCCGGCCCTTGGTGGCTGTGACCAAATCCTGGGGACAGGCGAAACGTGAGCAGCGGGACGGGGTCGTCTCCACTCCCACGGCCACCCCTGCCCCCTGCCGTAACCTGCAGCTTTTGCAGCTTCTTCGCCTGCATCTCTATCTCCCTGGAGCTCTTCTCATCCTTCTGCTTCAGCGCCTCAAAAGCAATCTTCTGGTGCTCGGTGGCCTCCGTGTAGCTCTGCATGGCCCGCTGGAACTGCTCCCAGAGCACGTCCACCTTCCCGCCCAGCTGCAGGCGGCTGTACTGCTTCTCCTGCAGGCTCTGGGGACAGATGCGGGCGTGGGTGACCCAGCACCTCCCAAACCTCATCGTGCGTTCTGCTCACAGGCCCTAAAAGGTTCGTTGCTGGTTCCTCCCCCAACCCGTGCCTTGTTTTTGAGGTCATCCCGGGCGCTCTGGAAATTCAGCGTAGCCTCATGGTCGTTCTTGGCATAATTCTGCTCCATGGCCAGCGCCACGTCCCGCAGGTAGCAGCTTTCTCGCTCGTGCTGCTCAAGGATGGTCCTCCTGGGGAAACACGGGGAGCTGCTGGCAGAGGGAAGCCATGGTGGTCCCAGCCAGGCTGTAAGAGGACTCAGCACCAGGCCAGGCCAGCCGGCGGGTGCCACTGCTGTCTCTCTCCCCCTCCGTACCTCTCAGCCTCAAACTCTGTCTTCAGGGCCTCCAGCTGGGCGCCGTATCCCTCCTCCAGGCACGTCAGGCGGCTGCGCTGGAGCTGCTG